TGTCTTTTTGAGACAGGGTCTCCCTGTAGCCCCAGCCGGTCTGGAGCTCACTATATAGACCAGGCTGGCCTTGAACTCAAAGATCTGTCTGCTTGGGGGCATGCACCACTGTGCCCAGCTCCAAAATGGTTTTTATCTGTTAGTCACAGAATGTTAAATCAGGAACAGAGGTGGGCAAGGAGTGGCTAGTTTGGAAGCTAAAGATAGCCCAGCGTAAATTGCAGTTAGGCTTTGGACTTGCAACATTCCAAACTCTCCACAATCATTGAAGTTCTAATCAGTCAATGAGCCTTTGCAAAGTGTTCAGTTTCAAAATGCAGTTTTCTGGGAACTTTCCTTCACACAACCCATCTCCCACCTCAGCCAGACAGAAGTTTGGATCCTCCTGGAATGTAGGCCATGGTCAGCCTTGACAGGAGCACACCCTGTGAACGAACTATGCAGCTGAGATAACAGGAGGATGCTCCTGTGAGGGTAAGGTTTTCAAAGCCTGTTCTCATACTAACAAGGTATAAAGGCCCCTTGGCCCGAGGAGGCCCCTTGGGCATGGGTGGGGACCTGATCATGACTCTGGTTACTCGAGAATAGTGGCTTGACTGGCTTAGGGCATGAGAACCCCAGCCTGTCTGCATACAGCAGACCCTGATGCCCCACAGTGTAGCTGAGGTCACACACACCTGGCCGTACCCCCTTTAAGGAGACATCTGGGGCAAGGCCATCCAAGGGAGATGCAGAACTGGAAAATCAGTGGTGGGAGGTCGTGGCTAAACGGCAAGGGAGGTCACAGGACTATGTGGTTACAGAGCAAGAGAGGTCAAAGTACTGTGGACCAAATACTGTCCAGTACAGGTACTGTCCGTCTGACAGGAGTTTCAGAAGGATGAAATGGAACAAGGAGGCAGGGCAAGCCACAGATACAAGTGAAAACATTTCTCCAGATGAAACAGTCATGCGTCTGCGAATGGAAAGGCTGTCAAGCCCCAAACAGACAGATGAGAAGACAGTACTCAGGTATTCAGTGTGAAGATGAACTCCCAAAGCTCCTTGATACCCCATCACCAAACAACAAGACAGCTTGAAATATTTTTAAAACCTACAGGGCATAGTGGTGCATGCCTGTTACCCTAGCATTCTGGGGAGAGGCAAGGCAATAACAAGTTTGGGGCCAATGAGCTACAGAGACCCCATCTCAAAAAAACAGACTAGATGGGCATGGTGGCACATGCCTTTGATCTCAGCACTTGAGAGGCAGAGGCAGAAGGATCTCTTTGAGTCCCAGGCCAGCCAGAGCTACAGAGTGAAACTTTGTTTGTTTTAAAAAAAAAAAAATGGGACTGGAGAGATGGCTCAGCAGTTAAGAGCACTGGCTGCTCTTGCCGAGGGTGTAGGCTGGGTTTCCAGCACCACGTGGTGGCTCACAACATTTTCACTTCAGTTCCAGGGGATCCATCACCCTCTTCTGACCTCTGAGGACACTGCACAACAGTTACATACGTGTAGGCAAAACACTCATACACATAAATAAAAATGTTAATAAAATTATTAAAAAGCAAATAAAATATTTTAAAAATCTAATTAAAGATACCAGGTAACCACCAACAGAGTTTTCTCTAAAGGATGAAATGCCAGAAAGCATTTCCTCCTCCTCAGAAGAGAGGTAACCTTTCCTCTGAGGCACTTGGTGATTTGCATGCTGCCATGGTTGGCATGTGAACTCTCCCCTTTAGATGCCTCTCATGCATTTAATTAAACACTTGGTCCTGACTGGAAGTAGTGTCTGGGAA